GCCAAGTGTCCATGTGGTTCTCAAGATTGCCAGGATGCTGGCTGTGCAGGCAGCAGGTGCCAGTGGTGCTGGGCACCCCAGGGAATGCTGGAAGAATTTCTGTTTTTTGTGAAAAGCTTTGAAGAGAGAGAGATGTGTAAATGCAAAGTGCCATCAGTAGAGAAGTYCAGGGCATATTGAGACCTGGAGGGAGCATCTAAAATGAAATTGCAGCTGCTGAATTTGAGCCAAACATTTGAAAAAGGATGATCARAGAAAGGAGAATGATCAGTGAAAGTCTTTTTTTGTTTACCCCAGTGCACACCACCARCCAAGGTGTGTGTCTGTGAACATTCTAATTCCACAGGGAGTTTGCAAGTGATTAGATGTTCTCAAAATGTGGCTTCAACTCTCACTGCCAGACTCCTCTGCTCAGTGGCCATGTCCCAGTGACCAAGCAGCCATGTATTATCCATCCCTGGCTGCTCACCCGTGGCAGCAGCATCACCCTCATCCCTGGGGAMCCTCAAGCTCTTCCCATGGTATAGACACCCTCTGCCCTCCCTTCCCGAGGTAGCTGCTCTTACCCTGGTGGAGGAGAGGAACTGGGGAGAGTTTCTTTGTAGCATTTGGTTCTTTGCACTTTAGTGGCTGAAACAGAAGGACCCTGCACCAGCCCTTCCCAGAGCACCAGCATACAGAGGCGATGACCCAAGGACTTTCCCTTTGTGACTTGCCAGTAGCTAAAATGGCAACCATTGTTAATCCCAGCTTGGCCAGGTCCATAGGCAGCATTGGCATTTACTCTGGGCACATCATGAGACCTGTGCCCAGGCAGCTGTGAGCTCCACTCGCTGGGCTAGGGTGGGAGCAGAAGCATCCCAAGGGAATGGTTTAGGCACACCTTGCTGAAGCCATCCCACAAGCTTTGCAGGAGCTGGTTTTTGTAGTGGCTTGGGCACCTGGTGTTAGGATATCTGCCCACTGGGGCTCCAGGTCCCACTAATGCCAGCCTGGAACTTCAAATCCTTCAGAGGTTTTTTTTCTTTGGGGCTGTTGCTCCAGACCCAGTGCTGCACACTGGTCTGTGCTTTGGTGATTCCATCTTCTTGACCTGGAGCTGGTTTTGGCTTTGGAGTCAGGGAAAGCGAGCTTTGGAGAATGAATCTGAGGCATGTTCCCCCATCCTCACCACACTGGGATTGTCTCCCTCCTGCTCCCTGCACAGTGGAAAGGGCATCCTGGGGATGCAGTGCCTCCCCCAAGACCCCCTCACGCAGCACTGCCATGGCCTGCCACCCACCGGGGATGCCCRTGTCCTGCCAACGTTTTGTGGCTGTCCCACATTCTAACTACAGGGGGTCCTTCCTTTCCCATCCTCGGAAGGAGCTTGGGGTCTTCTGCAGGGGCTTGGCAGCCCAGGCAGGCGGCATGTGCCATTACTGACAGCCAGGAGAAGACGGGGAGCTGCCTCTGTGCTGGCCAGGGAGAAAGGGAGCTCCTTGGAGCTTTCCTCCGCCTTCCCTTTGCTTTCCCCAGCTTCCTACACGGGTTCCCCCTTCCCTCTCGACACGAGGCCTTATTCCAACCCGAGGGGACTGAGGCTGCCCACGGCATCTCTTTGCACTGACGCGTCCATCCCCCGCTGCCCGCCGGGAGCCCCGGGGCAGAGCTGGCCTCTGCTCGGGGATGGGGCCACCCCCAGCCCAGCCCATCCATGCTCCCACCCCCTCTGCCACCGTGCTGGAGCTCTGCCCGTTCCACACTGCCAGGGCCTGGCCACTGTAGAGAAATCTGCTTTCACAGGTGAAACCTTTTTACTTCAATAATCRCTCCAGGAAAACCAGTAACTTTGCAGGTGCACTACACTCCTCTTGCTTTTCCATAGGAGTGGGGGCAGCTGAGATCTGCTCTTTTTGGCCTCTCTAACCCTCTCCAAAACTTTCTGGAGGTTTTTAACATCTATTGGTGAGATGCAATCTCTGTGGAGCCAGAGGGAACACAGGCAATGGAGCTGGGCAGCCTGCTTGCCCAGGTGGCGAGTGGCTCGGCGGGTGCCTGGGCTGCCTTGGGTGGAAGGTGGGACACGGTCCCGGCAGCGCCGGTGGGATGCTGGCCACTCGTCCGTAGTCAGGAGAGGATTCTGCTATACTTTTTTCCTGTCTGTAGGTTTTATTCAGACGATATGTAATGATTGAGTGATTTACAATTCAGTGTTAAGCTAATGAAAACGTTGATAATGGTGATAATAAAACCTTTTTTTTTCCTACGGTGTGTTGGAGTTTTTCTTTGGAATGTCTCTGCCCTCTCCATTGCTACCATCATTATCTTCAACCTGAGATTTCAGCTGGACTCTTTTCCTTGTGCCTGCAGGGAGCGAAAGCAGCTCAGCCTGGTGTATCCCAGTGCTCTGTGGAAGGGCTGTCACTCCAACTCCCTTAATCGGCCCCAGTTTCAAACCTGGATTTCCCTGAGCCACTTCTGGATGTAATTTGGCCATGAGCATCTCCAGGCACAGAGCTCAGCTTGCTCCCAGCTGTACTCTGCTCACCACTCCAGTCCAAAGCCACCTGCTCCTGCTGTTTTCTTCCCAAGACTGTTCATGGTCAGCACTTGGCCATTCAAGGGTGAYTTTGAAACTCTGGAGGTGAAGATTCTGCTGTTTTCAGGGAAAAAAAAATACCCCTGACCCAGGCTGTTGGGAATACCGAGTGAGTACATGGGTGCAGGGGAGCCTGGGGACACCCAGAGGAAGGAGACCCTCAGATGTGACTGGGTGTGCAGCTGCTGCCTGGATAACCTGGGCTGTGAGCCCTTGGGTGAGAAATGTTTGGGGGCTCCTGCTGGAGGGCTCTGTGGGAGGAGGTGGTGAGAACAGGCAGCATTCCCTGGGGAGCTACACAGGCCCTCTTCCCATGGGAACAAGGGATCACAAAGTCAGAGTTCAACAAGAATCTCTTGAAGGTTTCTGTCATGCCTCCAAATCCCTCTGCAGGTCATCAGGGTGAGACCAAGGGGCAGCTTCCCATCTGCCCCWGCTACAGCCCCTGGGGAGCAGTGATGGAAGGGGAGGAGGAGGAGGGTTTGTCCAGAGTGTCAGGGGGCAGCCAGCATCTCCCACACTCGAACCACCCCCAGCTTCCCRAGCAGGATTGGGCTCAGGCTGTCCCTGAGCAGCCAAGCAGTGCTGCCTGGAAGCTCAGGCCATGTGGAAACAGCAGCAACCAGAGTAGGTGTCCTGCCTCCTGCAGTGTCACCTTGTCACCAGCACTGCCCTCCAGGGTGTGGCAGTCACAGTGCCAGTTCTGCTGCCTATGCCAGGCTGTGCCTGTGCAGGGCTGCATCGTGGGCTCTACGGCACAGCCACGGAGCCACCAAGCTCAGGCAGCGGGAGGGAGAGTGCCAGGCTGGCTCAGCCTCCACACTGGGGTTTTCTCCTACTCCCAGCTCTGCCAGAGGTGGGTTTCACCAGGGCAATGCCATGCAGGTCTGACTTGTGTAGGAATTGAAGACCTGCTCCTTTCCACAAGGGTGGATCAGGGCAAGAGGTGCCACTGGGAGGATGTCCAAGGCTTAACAGGGAAAGAGGGAGAGATTTCCATCGGCTCAGCTCTGATGGCAAAGGACAGCACAGCSCAGCCAAAACTTGGGCTGAAAACYGTGGGGAGGATGGGGAAGATGGGACATGACAACAAAAGGGCTGAGCTGGTGGATCAGCATCAAGTGACCCTGCTGAGGAGCTGAGAAGCCAATGAAAGGCTCGTTTTTAAGCTTGTTTTCCACGCTCACAGCTTGCTTTGCTCCCCCTCCCCTCCTCCCCCTTTCTCTTTAAACCAAGGCTCACTCAGCTGGTGCAGATTTGGGGCCACTGGTGCAAAGTGAGGCAGCTGTTGGGCCCCTGGGGGGAATTTGGTGGTGGGAGGCTTCCCGCCCCCAGCCCCTGGAATGCCACACACCCCAAAGAGCCCTGGGAGCACCCAGGTGAGGGTGTCACAAACCAGGCCCCAGTGCCAGCCCAGCAGCACCTGCATCACCCTCCCTGCCTGTGTGCCCAGGCTGTGCAGCCTGCCCACAGGGAGCCAGCCTGGGTTTTGGGGCTTGGGCAAATCCCTCTGCCCCTCCCTGGGACAAATAACCAACCACCACCAGCCAGATTCACCTTTTATTAAATTGCCACCCAGAACAAAAGGAGGAAAAGAGCAAAGCCTGCCCTGAGACCGTCCCAATGCTGGCAACTCTGCATGCCTTCCCCCCCAGGTAAAGGGGCTGTTTCTCCACAAAACCCCTGTGAGAGGGTTTTTAGATAGAACTCAGAGTGCAAATGTCCCTTGTTGGGGAAAAAAAATGAAACAGAGCTCCTACCACTGTCAGAGCCAGTCCTGCTTTTGTGCCAATGAGACAGKATGGACAAAGGCCACGCTGGGGTCACCAGCTGGAAAGAGCCTCCCAGATGAGGCTGTGCAGGTACCACATCCCACATGGGGATGAACACAGATGTGGGGCCACCCACACCTCAGATAACCCCAGCAGCGAGCACAAGCCCAAGGGCTCACAGGAACTGGGAGGAGGCAAGGAGCCAGCCCTGCTGCTGGGCTGCCAGCTGGAGGAAAGGTGGGGAAGGAAGGGGTGACTTTAGTTAAGGAAAAACATCTCCTTAGGACCAAGCCCTTTGCAGGTGACTGTGTAGTTCAGGAAGGCTCTCCCTGGGGCTGTTCTTAGTACAGTCTGGGCTCAGCAAAGAGGAGAGCTGGGGCTGGGCTAGGCTGAATTGGGCTGGGCTGGRCTGGAGGAGTTCAGCTTCCCCTGGGAACGAGACACAGCGTCCCTCCAGCCAGTTCAGCCAGGACAACCTGCCCGTGGTGGTGAGGTGTAAGAGGTAAGGTGTGSTGGTGGGCAAGTGGGTGAGTGCATGGGCCTCCAGCTTCCAAAAGCACTGAGCCAACCACAAACCTGAGCTCATCTCTGGAGGGCTGCTCACAGGACATGCAGCTCCATGTGCTGAGCTGCAGGGCTACAGCCCATTCTCTTCTGCCCACCCACCAGCTGCAAACCTACTGTGTGACTTACCTGCCCCTGGTATCAGGGGACAGCTTAAAGGCCCCCAACCCTGCAGGGCTTGTTCACACAGGCTTTGCTTTTGACACTCAGCAAGTGCAACCCAACCCATGGAGCAAAAGTCGTGCTGGCAGCAGCCACAGCCAAGGTTTGACAGGGTGGGACGGCAGCAGTGCACCCTTTGGGGAGCGGGGAGGTGGGAAAGCAAACCTATGAGTCAATGGGCTTCACATCGGGGTGGGGGGCTCTTGCCAAACCCAAATACTCGAACCTACTGGGGAGGAAAAAGCCAAGAAAAACGAATAATGTCATTCAGTGCCTGCAAAAAGGGAATAATCATTTCCCAACAGGATTTAGAGGCTCCTGCTGGGGGGAGGGAGAGGAACAGAAGAAATGAGTAAGAAGAACCTGACTTCTCTGTTCTTAATTTATCATCATAGTAAGACTGGAGCACTCAGCACGCGCTCCTAGATGGATTTCCTCCGCAGCCGGGGGTGCTGCCGGCAGCGAGGGCTGYTGGAAGACAAAGTGCTCCCCGGGGAAGAGCCGGTCTGACCCCGTGTGCTCAGGGAGATCTCGTCGATTTTGTAGGAAATGGAGTTGTAATACACAGGGTTGGTGTGGCAGCTCAGGGTCTCGGGGTGGGAGGGTGCTGGGCTGCCACACACCTGGGGTCTGTAGCACAGGCACGTGCAGAAGGATGGCACCGCGGCCGCCGAGGTGGCCGACTGGCGCCGCTGCCTCTCCGCGTCCTCCTGCGCCAGCGGGATCAGGTTCATCTGGCTCGTCCTGTCCTCCACGGGGAGAAAAATGGCATTGCTGCTGCGGCTGTCCTCTTTGGGCTTGAGGTGGATGTTGTTGCGGGCTCTCCTCAGCGAGGCTCGCTCCTCGGCGTCCCGCCGCTCGTCCTCCGTGTTCATGGTCAGGAACCGCAGCACCACCAGGTTGAGGAAGGCGCCGATGACCGTCAGGCCCACCAGGATGTACATGAAGCTGAAAGCCACGTATGGGGGCTTCTTCTGCAAAGCCTCGTTCTTCTGCAAAGCCACAAAGTCTCCAAAGCCAATCGTGGTCAAGGTTATGAAGCAGTAGTAATAGGCGTGAAAGAAAGTCCAGCCCTCGAAATAAGAGAAGGCTGCGGCGCCGATGCACAGGGTGCCCATGCAGGACAGAAAGCCCACCAGGACCATRTTCTCCATGGAGACATGGGTTGTCCTCATGCCCAGACACTTCTTGATYTTCTTGAGCAGGAGCCGCACCACGGTGTTCATGCGCTCCCCCAGGCTCTGGAACATGACCAGTGTCAGGGGGATGCCCAGGATGGCGTAGAACATGCAGAAGACTTTGCCAGCATCCGTGCCCGGAGCAGCRTGCCCATAACCTGCAAAGGACAGGAAAGAGGAAAGGCGGCGTCAAACTCTCAGTGAGGTTTCCAGCAAGGCTGCTCTGTGACCAAGAGCAGTAGAAAAATGGGGGGAAGGATGGAAAATGACTCAGATGTGCAGGCAATGCTAATGGAGCCATGGGATGCCACATCMTTTGGGATGATGGCMYATTGCACTATCATGTAGGCAGARTYGCATTTGACYTCTAAGGAGAGAAAGTMCTGATAGSTCTCCTGATAGTGCCCMAGCTCATCACAGAGGCCAAGAGGAGGCCTAGAGCTGGGCTGGGGTCTGCAAGCCTCCTGCAGCTCACAAACAATCCAGAGGCAATGCTGCTGTGCCAGTGCCAGGTGTGCAGGGTAACCTGAACCCCACAGTGAGGGGGGACAGAGGCTCTGCAGGGTGCTGAGACCAACAGTGTCAGGTCACCCTGTGGGCAGGTGCACATCCAGGCAGGACCAACCACAGTTGCCCTTGCAGGGACATTGTCTCCTCCCCTGGCACCTGCTCCTGCTCCTCCCAAATCCTCCACGTGCACATTTCAGTCTCAGCTGCACGAGCACTCGCTGTGTGTCCTGTTGGACAGGAGCTATAGGGACCCTSTGCTGTAGGGACAGTCCCCACAGGAGCAGCTAAATCTGGAAAGACTTCTGCAGAGCCACTCCAGATTTACTCCAGTGTGACTAACACTCAGACCTAAAGCACCACTGGACTGTAGGGAAGGAGGGATTGTGCTGTTCTAGATGCAGGAAAAGGAGCATTTATGCCACCGCAGCCCTGTTCTGGGGACAAGGAGCTCCAGGAGGACAAGGTTCTCCTTGAACGCATTCTGAGATTTAATTTCTCCACCTTGGCCCAAGTTTCAGAGCTGTGACTCAAGGACACACACAATTACACTGTGAGGCACAGTGAGGTATTCACTGCAATCTTCCGGACTCCAGCGATTCTGTGCCCACCTCAATTACAGCAGCTTGGCAGGAACCGGTGGCCCCTGACCCAGCAGATGAGTAACGAACTCGGTGCAAGGGAGTCATGTGGCGTTGGGGAGAAACRGCATCCAAAGGTATCCAAAGGCATCCAAAGGCATCTGAGCCTTTCTTCTGACTTGCTTTTACAAGAAACTACCAGGGCCTGAAACTTTCCTTCTGAAGGCGCCTGCAGAACAGCGGGGCTCCTTCCTGTGCTGCTGCCAGGCTGTCACACACAGCTATTTGTATTTTCACTTTTTGCAGGAATTTGTGTGACTTCTGCATGGAGAACATGGGGAAAACCRCCCTCTTGTTATCCCACAGTCTTGTTCTAAGCTGTGACTTGGCTTCACCTCAGTCCTGCCCGTGGATTTCCAGGACACTTTGGGAAGCTGCAGCACAYGATGGAAGGAGCAGAGGGGGATAACCGTGTTATCCTGGGCTCCTGAGCACACCTCCTGCTCCAGGAAACTCCTGCATGGGATGGGCTGAGGACAGCATTATCCTAATGACCATCTTCTAATTGCTCTCTCTGTTCACAAACCCACACAGTCAAAAATGATGAACTTAAAGCTTGCATGCCACATTTCATGAAATACAGAGCAGACAGGAGACTGCAGYGGCAAAATCTCCCAGTCAGATCCAAGCTTAATAACCAAGTGTAATTACCAGGTCCCAGGCTACAAGATAACACAATGACAGCRATGAGGAGGTAAATGTAATGATCCAGAAGAGCAGTAAGTGGTAAAACAATTGTTATACCCTGAGAGACCGTTGAAAGAGTGTTTGACTGATGGTTTGGAAATGACAAAGGGAATTAGRAAGAGTAAACACAGCTACAATAACATTAAAACAGAGATTTGGAGCACAGCCCAATATAAAGAGATCTGACACACCAGCATTTTAGAAATATGGCACCTGGGCTGAAATTATTTATCACACGGGGTGTGTGATAAGCACAGCCATTGTTTGTCACAGCCAATAGGAAAATCATGTAAATGAAGCTCAAACCTGGCAGGTGATGATGGGCGTTTTTGCTGAAGCCATTCATCTTTCCCTCCTGCTGGGGTCTGACCCTGCATGCCCTGAGCTCGCCATGGTTTGCTGSCCATGTGTGTTCCCAGCTGCACAAACCCCACAGCACATCCCATGGGAGCACACGGAGAGCCCAGGCAGGGCCTGCAGGATACCTGCCCCTCTGCCACCTCTTGTCCTCTAGTAAAACAGTACAGTTCATCCCACAACCCTTGTCCTGAGGGATGAGCTACCAGAAGTATTCCAACATTCCCAAGCCCTTTGGTGAGGCTGAGTCCTGTCCTGAAGAGCAGGAGGCGGCTGCTGGCTGTGCCAGGGCAGGATTTGGCCTCAGGATTCCTGCCTCCAAAACACATCTGCTGACTGAAATCCCAGCAGCAGCAGTGACACGAGCACAGGACCCCATGGGATGTTAAGGGTGCATGGATTAATCAAAGTGGATTAATTAAACAATGCTCAACTCCCATGTGGCTAATCTCACCTAAATTAAGGCAACCCTCATTCAATTTATTTTCATTCTCTTGAAAAATTGAAGCAGACAAACCAAGGCACTGGGCTCTARTACGGAGAAGTGGGTCTATGTGGGAGTTTAATGTGATTCAACCGTTCCCCTCCAAGCTAGCACTCATCTCTCTGCAGGTTTCTGTGCAGGCAGAGCAGTGGGCAGTGGCTCGTGGCTCCCTTGGCTCCGTGAAGCAGATTTCACACAGCCAAACATCCAGAGTTTTGAGCCAGCTAAGCAGCCAGGATTCTTGCCCAGCTCTTCACCCAGCTCGTTGCCTACAGCCGGCGCAGGGGGCAGACAGGGCCCCCACCTCTGCCCTCCCACACCGCTGCCAACTTTGGCAGCTGCCTGCTCCAAAGGCTCCCGCAGAAGCTCTGCAAGCTGCTGCCTCCCTGGGACAGCATYGTGTCTCGTGGCCCCAGCCATAGCAGAACCCCTAGAACAGGGTGGCCCCAGCCTGTCCCTGCGTTGCCTCGGCCACCACTGGGCACTGGGGGCCCCAAAGGGCCGGTTCGGGGGTGGCCTGAAGAGATGTCTCAGCCTGGCAAGGGTGAGACYTGCGTCTGCCAGGCGGCCACCCCCAGGCTGTCCTGGAGCTGCCAGGGGTGATGAGGTGTGGGGCTGGAGGAGGACGGAGAGCAGGGACATGGAGATGCGGGGACAGGGGATGCAGGGGCGTGGGGATGGAGGAAGGCAGCGATGGAGGAACACGGGGTGTCGGGAGCTCGGGGTGGCGGGACAGCGGGAGTGGAGGGTCAGGGATGGAGGGACAGCGGGTGCGGAAGGTCAGGGATGGAGGGACAGCGGGTGCGGAGGGTCAGGGATGGAGGGACAGCGGGTGTGGAGGGTCAGGGATGGAGGGACAGCGGGTATGGAAGGTCAGGGATGGAGGGATACCGGGAGCAGAGGGTCAGGGATGCAGGGATATCGGGCGCTCCGGCCGGGCTGCCCGCACTCACCGATGGTGGTGATGACAGTGATGGCGAAGTAGAAGGAGCCGGCGAACTTCCACTGGCGGCCGGCGCGGTGCGGCTCGGCCTGCAGCACCAGCCGCTCCAGCTCCCGGTAATCGTCGGCGGAGAAGCGGTACTTCCTCCGCAGCTCCCCGCGCTTCTGCTCCAGCAGCCGCTTGCGGCCGCTCTCCGCCTCCGACTCCAACGCATCGAAGACCGCGGCGCCCACCAGCAGGTAGGAGAAGATGCAGAGGATGAGCGCGGCCGTGCGCAGGTTCTGCCGCTTCATGGC